CAGAGAGCTAAGAACCTGTTAACTGCTGGCAGTTACTGATTTAGTTATTTAGCGTTAATCATAATTCAGGCTGATCTGAATATAGATTGAATTTATGGGGACTAATGCAGCAATTTGAGGATTATGTTATTTCAAAGTCACGAAATGGTCTGGAATCTTTGTTCTCACCATTTGAGCTCATGCCTGTAAACTGGTGGAAGTTATTGTCCTAGCTTGAATCAGTTGGTCTGTTGGTAATGGGAAAAGACTACTGCATTTTTTTGTCATTAATATGATGGTCCAGGATTTTTTTTCCTGTCCTGTTGTAAGTTTGAATAACTTGACTGATATTATTTTTACACTTCATGTGTTTACAGCTAACAGTGCAGCAATGTAAGGAATTGGATATTGGCAATAACTGAGCTGAATTTTAAGATCATGGTCCAGATCATGGTTAACAGTTTCTGTCAGTGTTTCATCTTCTGTTCTGATTCAGTGTTTCTGGGTGAATAAATGACTTCAAACCAAAGTGTTTAACCTCACTGAGTATTTCTGACCAACATCATTAAATGATCTGTGGAAAAGCTGCTTTAAAAAAAGCTTCTTTAGCTCTTAGCTTTTAGCTTTAGTCAGGTCACATTTCTGACTTTAGCTTTTAGATAAATTTATCAAGAGTTTTTGTCTTTGTTAAAGAGTTTTTAGTGTTTAGGGAGGATTCTATCCCAGTTTTGTTTCTCAGCTCTGGAAAGAGCAGATGTTAAATGTGATGATGATGATAAATGTTTTCATCTCTGATTAAAACTACTATTCTTGTTAAAACAGATCTATTTTAAACAGATTCAAAGGTACTGAACAGCACGTTTATTTATATTCTATATATGATTTGTCATTCACACGTCAGATTTTTCCAAACCAATTAATCTAATCTAATAAGAGTTTTTAATGGAAAATCCAGTTTAAGATTCTCAAAGATTTTTTAAATATAAATTAATTTTCAGTTTTTACTCATGAAAAACGTTTTTCCCCATAAAAGAAATGAATGAAATAGACATGAATCCCGACCTAACCCGGAAGCAGCGCCCGCCGAGCGGAGGCTGTTGGCGGGCTTTTTCAAACCGCTCAAAGCTCCAATGAGCGACGGGGGCGGGGCTATGATGGGGCGGGGCTACAGGGGCCGTTGTCCAATGAGCAGCCGGAGGCCCAGGCAGCGTCACCGCCCCCCGGCCGGTCCCGGCTTTAAATGCGGCGTCTCCGCTCTATCACTCATTCGCTGTGCTAGACTTTCAGTCCAGAAGTGAAAATGGCCAGAACCAAGCAGACCGCCCGTAAGTCCACCGGAGGCAAAGCCCCCCGGAAGCAGCTCGCCACCAAGGCAGCCCGTAAGAGCGCCCCGGCCACCGGCGGCGTGAAGAAGCCCCACCGTTACCGTCCCGGGACCGTGGCTCTGCGGGAGATCCGCCGCTACCAGAAGTCCACCGAGCTGCTGATCCGCAAGCTGCCCTTCCAGCGTTTGGTGAGGGAAATCGCGCAAGATTTCAAGACCGACCTGCGCTTCCAGAGCTCCGCCGTCATGGCTCTGCAGGAGGCCAGCGAGGCCTACCTGGTGGGGCTGTTCGAGGACACCAACCTGTGCGCCATCCACGCCAAGAGGGTCACCATCATGCCCAAAGACATCCAGCTGGCCCGCCGCATCCGCGGGGAGAGGGCCTAGACCCCCACCCCTCCCCCTACAGCACCCCAACGGCTCTTTTCAGAGCCACCAACCCCCTCAAAGAGAGCTCAGCCCTCCATCTTGATTCTTCATTCAGCTGCTTTCATGTAAATCTGCAAGCTTCAGTTTATAAACGGATGAAATGCTCATTTAAGCTGTTTTATGATTTACATTTTTTTTTTTTAACCTTTTAATGGTTGTTTGGCCCAAATTATTGGTTGAATCAAGTCCTTGGTTCAAATGGCCCCATTGTGTTGCTTCTATCCAAAGTCACTCAGAAAAAACAATTTTACAATTTTTAAAATAAAATCTCACTTTCCTTCCTCCTACCTTCACTGACCCAGTTACAATCAGTTTCCTGAAGTCTTGATGCTGAATATGCTCAGAAACCAAATCAGAAAGTGTATAACGGGAACAAATGTTATTTCAGGAGCCCAAACTGGTTCTGATTAAATCCCGTTTCTGAACAAAGTCCAGAACAAGTCCAACTTGTGTTTCAAATCCACTTGAGTATCTTTTAGTTTCCTGTCTGGAGGAGCTGAGCTCATTTCTCTGCTCAGATATGGAGGAAAAACTGTAAATATCCAGATAAATCTGATCCAGCTCTGCTCACTGAGTGGATTCACAGCTGACAAGGAAATAAACGAGACAACCAACTCTTTTTCCAGACCTCTGAAAGACATTTAAATGAATATTTGATGGTCTTACGGTAGCCCAGCAGGGCCAAAACACACGGCTAACTGGACTTTTGTCAGGTCAAATTAAAAGATGTTTTCAGCCAGAGACCAAACAGGCGATCAGACAAATCTGAGACAGATAAGACGGGTCTTTTTCAGCTTTTTTACAGTAACGTTTTGACTGTGGGGCTGAAATCTGACAGACTTTGCAGCTTCGGGTGATGGTAAGAACTGTCCAAACTCAGTCCTTCAAACGCAAGGCCTCATTTAAGGGCAATAAAACACCTCCAGTAATTATGATTTTACAGACAAAATCTGCCTCCTGCATTCAGGCCACATCTGATGAGTCAAAGTCTGAATCATGACACATCTGTTGACAGCAGAGGGCTGACTTAAGGAGAAAATAAATATATTTATATGCACGTTGACAGGCGATTAAACCAGATGGGGACAGAAACCTGATCTGAGCTGCTGATGTTTGTTTATGCTCCATGAGCTGATTGTGTTTTGATCCAGATGAAGAACGAGACACCGAGGACACGTCCAGCTCTGAAGTCTGGCTCCTGTCCTCCTGCAGGACTCTGATTTTCACCCGTTTACTCCTAAACTGTCAGACAGAAAGAAGGAACATGCTGCTGGTATGAATCAGACTCACTGGAGAAGTTTGGAGGATCTAGTAAAAAACCAAAGTGACTAAATGATTGACATTTATTCATTTTTTATCACTATTTTTTTCTGTATATCTTGTGGAATGTTGTGTATATATATATATAGGCCACAGAAATGTGGTCTGGGTCCAGTTTTTAGGACACATTCATGATGGGGAAATTAGGATTCATGAGAGAATAAACCCGCAGATCACTGCAGAGAACACAAATCTATAAAATAACACTCATAAAACACGTTTTTATCACAGAATATATTTTTTATTTAAAGGGAAATATTGGTAAAAATGTCAATATAGTCAGAGAAAAAAAAAGTGGAGGATTTTCTGATGTGTTTCTTTGTTTCTTACTCAAACGACCAAAAAACTGGGTTAAAGCTTCATTTTTGCTGTTATGTGTCACTGAATTGAGACCAAAACCCAAATAAAGCCCAAATTCATCTCAGATTAAGAATGTCAGGCTTTTCTCAGCTTGTTTGGGTTCATGTGGATTCATTAGATGGTTGAAATGGGGATTTTGAACCTTTCAGGCTCAAACTTCCTCTCAGAGATTTGTGCTTAAACCGAAAGGTTTTTGCTCGTTTTTCTCGGCTTCACCGGGACAGAATTCAGGAGGCTTTTTGGTCGGTTCCAGCCCGGTTTGCAGGGTTTTGAGTCCATTTGCAGATCGATCTGCGTCCAGAGGATCCGGAGGGCCGATCCTGAGGATCCTCCGGCAGGAACATCCGGCCCGGGCAGTGGCGGCTTCCCTGTGTTTACTTCCAGCCAAAACGGGCTCCGTTAGACCCCGGGAACCGGAGCAGCGCCGCCGTTTCCCCCCGGTTCTGTCCGCAGATGTCTCCGCTAACGGGGCCGCGGCCGTTCCAGCCACCGGAAGCGGCTTTTACCGCTTTTAGGAGGCCAAATGTGGAGAAAACTCGCTGCGAGTTGCTCCAAACGGCCGCGTTTCGGAGCGGTTTGAAGCCTCCCGGAGCGAAGCGGAAAAGTCCCGGAAACCGGACAGGAGCTCAGGTCGGAGGCCGGAGGGTCCGCTCCCCGTCCCGGGGCGGGTCGAGGCGGGACGCGGCGGTTTTGGGGGGATTTTTGGGCGGAAAGCTGGCGGAGAAAACACAAGTGTGTCCGGCCGGGAGGCGGCGGCGGCGCGCGCGGCGCGTTGCCTCTCCACGGTTCTCATGTGCCTTATAACTGCCGCCTCGCGCTCTGAGCTCCACACGTTGAGTCTCAGAGCGAAGCGAAGCAAACATGGCAGAAGAAGCTCCCGCAGCCGCGCCGGCCAAAGCCCCGGCCAAGGCCCCGGCAAAGGCCCCCAAGAAGAAGGCAGCCGCCCCCAAGGCAAAGGCGGACGGACCCAGCCTCCCCAAGCTGGTGGTGGCCGCCGTGGCCGAGTCCAAGGAGCGGAAGGGCATGTCTCTGGCGGCGCTGAAGAAGGTGCTGGCCGCGAAGGGCGTGGACGTGACCAAGGCCAACAAGCGGATCAACACCGCCGTCACCAAGCTGGTCACCAAAGGCACCCTGAGCCAGACCAAGGGCACCGGGGCCTCCGGCTCCTTCAAGCTGGCCAAGGAGCCCAAAGCCGCCAAGCCCGTGAAGAAGGTGGTGAAGAAGAAGGCTCCCGCCAAAGCCAAGAAGCCCGTTGCCGCCGCCAAGAAGGCGACCCCCAAGAAGGCTGCCCCCAAGAAGGCCGCCCCCAAGAAGTCCCCCAAGAAGGCTCCAGCCAAGAAACCGGCTAAGAAGGTGGTCAAGAAGAGCCCCAAGAAGGCCCCCGCCAAGAAGCCCAAAGCGGCCGCAAAGAAGCCGGCAGCAAAGAAAACTGCCGCCAAGAAGCCGGCAGCCAAGAAGGCCAAGAAGTAAAGGCCCCCCCTAAAAAACACCAACGGCTCTTCTAAGAGCCACCACAGCTACCTAAAGAGCAGGTCCT